ATCGATAATGTATATATCGATTTGTGAGAGAGTGTATTTGAATATTCTTGCATAGTGGGCAACTAAATTTTACTTATAAGACTCCTAAAATCCTTAATTAATACATATGTTTATTCAAAAAATGGTCTCATATGTACGAGAATCAAAAATCGATCGATTTATGAGATAATATATCGATATGCAATAAAAGCCTGAATAGAATTTTGGTATGTTCGATCAATAAATCTTCGTTCAAAATATTAATTACTGATATAATATTGATTAATACTCCATAAATTACTTATCGATATTTATCGATATATATACAAAAACTAGCTAAATACTAATATTTCTCTCAGGTAAAGCTGAAATGTTGTCAGATTGAGTCCTAAAAAGTGGAATAGTTATGATCGATACTTATCGATTTCTACTAAAATGTGTGCTAGTCTCAACTGTTGTTATCAAATATTACTTTAAGTATTAAAAGTTTGAAAGTTGCATATCAATGCTTAACGTGTTTATATGCTATACGTAAGCTCACTTACAGGGTATACCAGTACAGGGTGCACACCTTGTTTAATTTTCCACGTTAAAAGGGCTTGTTCGTGTTGGATAATTAACTAACGCACCCAACAAATATTGTGTTAATATCCATAAATTCAGAGCAAAATGCAAACCTTAACCCTTTTGTCGCCTTGCTTGCTACGCAGCCTGTCTGTCTGTCTGGCAGCCAGTTCCGTCCGTTCAGTTCGTATGCAATTTGCATAGAATATTTCTCAAAAAAAAAAAAAAAAGAAACGAGAACCCGCCCCATTGTCTGTGACATTCCTGTGGCGCACTCGAGCGGAACTCGGCCCCAGGTCCAAGCCCAAGCCCGAGACGCGCTCTCAATGTAAATAAATATATGTATTTATTTTTATTTTTATTTTTATTTTATTTTCTTCTTTTTGCTTCTTGTTTTTATTTGTATTTTTATTTAGCTGCACGCGTTAATTTATGCCAGAGAACTGTGGAACGTCTGTGGCTCGCTTTGGTTAGCCGTTAAACCACATCCGAAAATTATACAATAAAATGTTAAATAAACTTGTTGTTACTCTGCTGCTGTTGTTGTAGCTGCTGTAAATTTATACAAACAGCTGCGCTAACCGCAACTGCAGCGCCAGCGTCGAGGCCTCAATTCTCAGCACTTTGCCTTCTGCTTGGCCATCTAGCCAGCTGTAGGGTATGTAACTACTCTAACTACTTGTCAAACTGACAGCCCAACTGTATGCCGAAGACGACGAACTCAATGTACGACTGTCAATCGAAGTGTCCCAAAACGGAAGCAGTTAAGCTTTGAATAATTTATGAAAATCACTTTTATTGCTCCTCTCCGCCTGACTGCCAAATGTGCATATCAATTATTTGTGTATTGCTGAAAGGTTTGAAGTTGTCCAGAACTTGATTTTCACACTCTTCTTTAATTTCTTCAATTTGCTGCATATGCAAATGATAGCTTATGAGTTGGCATTTTTTATTTCTAAATATTATAGGGTATTAAGAGAGTTGGTTTTATAGAATTTATACTAAATTTTGTTGGTTTTATTCATATTTTATTTAAAAAAAAAACATTTATATTTAAGATTTCTAAATAAGTTTTTAATAAAATAAAATTAATTCCCAGAAGATTTCGGAATTTTTAATTTCTTATCATTTTTATTCGATTAACAGAAATATTTTTGAATATATTTTTATATATTTAAGACTTCTAAAATTTTAAGAAAATATTGTGAATCAACAAAGTTATGGTATTGCGTTTTATAAAAGATTCTTTTTCGAAAAACCATTAAATACTATTTTTTATTCAAAAATTTAGACTTCTAAATAAATAATAAAATATTAGGATTTTCCAGAGAAAAGTTCAGCGTTAAAAATTCTGACAATTTTACTTTCGAAAAACTATAAAAGTATTTTAGTAATTGTTTTGGTCATATATTTAAGTCTTCTTAACAGCTAATAAAATAATATATATTAAGCGAGAGCTTATAAAATTTCCTGATAAATTTCAAACACTATAAAAATATGTTCGTATTCAAATTTGTAATACTTTTTATCCACAATGCTATAAAACAGTATTATAAGATATTTCAGGAATGTCTACAATGTATGTTTATTTTTATTATCAATAGCAATGTTGTGCATAAAGCGGAGTCCATAATTGAGTTATCTCTTAAACTATAAACATTTGATAGCGCATATTTGTATGTCAAACGAACCGCAATCCAAGCGAGCCATAGTCATAATGGGAAACCCAAACATATACATATACATATATCCATCAGATCGGATAGTGTTTAATATGCCAATGACAACGTTTTAGATTCCCAACCGCACAAATATCCACTTGACGACTCGGCTCAATTTGTTGTTGTTGTTGGTGCTTGGGCTCCAAATATGGCCAGACATTCTGGCTTGTGGCCAGTTGCCAGTTGCCAGTTGGTTACCGTGTGTATTGTGGTCACTTCCTAATTTGGTTCCGCTATTTATTCTCGCATGCGTTTGCTGTTTTTTTTTATTTATTATTTAATTTACTAAGGCGAGTCTTGAATGCCAAACATTATACTCGAAATGTTTTGTATGCCAAATGCAAATGCCGGTGGAAGTTGGCGCGCACACACTTGGCCAAAACTAAGTGTTAACAAAAATAAAAAAGACAAACGAATAATGTTGTTTAAAAAGAAAATGAAAATTGACACGCATAGCCATAAAGGAAGTTCAAGCTATCTGCCCCTTTTGGTAGCGACCGCTGGGCAGGGCTTCCTTATGGCCAGAGACTTTGATTCAGCCTCAGCGTGACCTTCAAGCCAAATTTTTGAGCTGTTTTTTTTTTGTTTTGGTTTGCTTTCTATTTCTAGCTGGGAACAGGAATGGCTTCAAGTTGATGTAAAGCTTTTGGCGTCTAAAGCAGCTATAAATTCTCAGTCGAATTGTGGAGCTGCTCGCATACCAGAGACTGAGACTCTGCTAACTTCCGGGCTGTTTGGGAAAGAATGTGAATGCCATAGAATTTAGTTACGCATAGCTCAACGCTTGTGAGAATGGGTCATGGCTAGCAGTTGTTGCCTCTGCTTGTTGCCGTTCGCATACCAGAGCAACTTAGTTAGTGCATTGAAGTGGGTTTGTTGTGGGCGTCCAAGCCACCAAGTGCAGCTTCTCACTAAGCAACGACGAGCGAAATATTCAATTTGTATATATAGAAAGGTATGTGTGTAGCCAGAGTTAATTGTCTGTCATAGCGAGCTGTCACTGTATGTCAGGGAACTGGGCATGTGAAGTTTTTGCGGCGCATATGTAGGCTAGAAATTCCAAAATATAAACAGTGCGGGGAACTCTGTGTCTCTTTGATATGTATTAGAAATATTTATCGTCTGAAAAATAGCTGACATTGTAGTCGTTTATAAGGTAAAGAAGAGGAAGATAGGGAATAAACAAACTGAAAATGTTTATATGGTGGATTATATAACGATGAGATCGACAGATGATCTAAAAAAAATCACAAAAACTAATTTTCTTTGAAGAGCTTTGAACATTTGAAAAAAATTTTATCTGATTACAGTCTAAACATTCTTTATCTCTATAAATAAATATCTAACATATTTTAGAATGCATTTCACCATAGCTATATACAAGCTATAAAAACAAACACCAGCACACATTTATACCCAACTATATAGTAGTACATATTTTGTTGGCAGTTTATAGGCCAGTTAATGCTAGCTAGGAGAAGTGCCCATAAATGTCACAATTGATTGCTCGCAGCTACACAGACAGAAAGAGATTTTTAATGTGTGCGTGTGCAGCCAATGAACTCTGTCTGCATTTAATAGGCAGCACAAACAAAAGACTTAGGCAACGAACTTGTCGTAACGCATGCCAAAAACTGGTTTGGCCCAAAGGCAAACACAAACGCATTTTTGCTTATTTCACGCGCACAGCGGCCAGTGCAACGGTTGTTAATGCCAGCTACCAAGTGTAGAACGACTCCCACTAGCAACAAAGCTGATTGCCGCTGTGTTAGGCTGCCTTTTTGCAGTTCTCCAATCAGCTTTAAGTACGCATTGCTCCTTTTCATTTTTTTTAGAGTTATTTTTCCCATGACCGAACAAACTTGTTCGTGGGATGAGTCATGGATGTAGTCAGAATGGCACAGAATCTTCTTCATCGAACGTCGGACAGCTACAAGTATTTCACAAGTTTGCGTTCATGTTGCGTTGAACTCCTTTTGGCCCTTTGTCTCAGTCTCAGTCCCGGTCCTATTCTATTTGTTAATTTGTTGCTGCGTGGGAATTTCGCTGCTCGGGACGTGCCTCCAAACAGAGATTAGTTTGAAAAGTATTTCACAACATTTAAAGTGCAAATTACTTTAGTATCTTAGCCTTTGGCCATGTCACAAGCGACGCTTGTTCAATGTAAATTGCTAGCGCGGCGCCATTTACGGATCTAAACTTAGAACCGGACCACGACGAACGGGTTTTCACAATTAAAATGTGTTTTTGATTTTGTTCTTTCTTTATCAAAATGGAGGGGCTGAATTAATTATTTATGCACACAGCAGCAGACAATGGGCGGCTACTCAGAATCCGTGCCATAATCTAAGTCAGAAACGAAAGACTTAAGGCACAAACTTGGCATAATTCACTTCAAAAAAAAGCGTTCACAGTTCAGTTGGCACCCCCTTAGAAGCGGTCGGAGCAGTGGCAGTAGGCGAAGCTGCTGGCCGACTGTAACGCGTGCCAGCGTCACCTACAAGAGCTAGCGGGGCGGGCAGTTGGGCTGCTGAGCAGCTGGGCAGCTGCAGGCGTTGCCAAGCGTCATACACGAGTTAACAGCCATCACATCCACATCCCCAACCCCATCCAGCCAGCCAGCAAGCCAACCAACCAAAAAACCCGCATATATTAAGCAAGCCAAAGCAATAAGGCACATTTAGAACATGCATTACGTACACTGTACAAAATTTATGAATACCAAAATTGCTTCAATGGGATGGATAATTATTATTGCTAGAATTTTCTATAGAAGGCATGGTTATATCAGCGAGTACCACTAATATATATACTCCTTCTATTGTGTTCCTTAACTATTTGTGCTTTAGCTATTAATTTTCCCTTAAATTTCTCTCAGTGCATTTCATAGAAGCGGCCATGAACAAGTCCGCTGCACTTTTGGGCTTGTTATTATTAGCAGCTCATGTCGACCATGACATTTGTTTAAAACGAAAATAAATGGCATTGCGCGAACCAGACCTAAACTAAAACTCGATCCAGACCCAGACCTACGCCCATGTCCATGCCCATGCCCATGCCCATATCCAAGAGGCAAACGCAGTGTAGCTTGAAATGCTTCTTTACCTGCACCATGCACAACAAATTTTCGACTAACCCAAAATTCTGAAAGCAGCTAAAAACAAATTGGCAAATGCCCAATCAAGCGATGGTCAAGTCATCTGTGTAGTAGAGCCAAATGGAGGGCGGTGGAAGTTCCACATCGCAGTCTTCATCATCTGTCAGGCCATTCTCATCCAAGGTGCCATTCAAATTCAAGAGGCCGCAGCTCCTGGCCTGATTAGAAGAAATTAGTTGAGCTCCCCAACGAGTGCCCCCTGCCGACTTACGCTATGTGAGAACTTGCGCCATTCATAGGAGCCAGCATGATGATTGTAGCGCTGCTTGTACTTCTGCTGTATATCGTAGATGCTGTCCTCATCGCAGACGGTCATATGCTGCACATGGCCAGTGAGTGTGTTAATCAGGCGAATGCGTCGCGGTCGTCGAGTGATGCGCCCAATATGATAATACGGATCCTGACTCCACATGGCGTGTTTAGTTTTTGCAAATTCGCTGATCGCAACCTCCAAAATGGGAGGAAAGAGCACACGAGGTCGCCCCGAGCTGGCCGAGATCTCGGTGCGTGGTTCGCCGTTCTCATGAAACAGATGCGTCAGATCCTTGCCAGCATGTGCCACCAAATAGTCCAGGGTCTAGAAGAGGCCATAACTATTTGACTATAGAGATACATGTCTAGTTAAGACTCACGCGATTCCAATGATCGCAACGATCACGGAGCATGGGCGACAGATTGAAAACATTCTTGTGTATAACAATCCAACAATCCAATTTTTTATTATGTATAACAATCTCATCCATGAGATAATAACGCATAGTTCTTATAGGCTGAGCCATTTCTAGTGTTGGATAATTAAATATATATAATGAAGTAGATTTTTTGATAAATAAATTTTTGAAATTATTTTCTTTAAGAATTGACAAAGTGAGAAAACGTTGCTTATTAGAAGAAAGATATAACATGGGATGGCCAAAAATAGAGTATAGAAAATGTTAATAATCTTTAGTATAAGTTAATTTTGGGCTACAATTGATCATATTTTAAACATCAATTCAATAAATATCAATTTCTTTCTTAGGTAACAAATGATCATTACGTTCACAGCTCGAACTGCCAAACTCCCAATCATATTTGAGGAATCTTCAGTGACTCTTCTCATTGAAAAAAAAAAACAATCTTAACCACAATCTGTTGTCCAAGGTACTTATATTGTTATTAAGTAAATGTTAGTTGTAAGTGCATTAGCAGCTTGTAAAAGATCTTATCGCTGCCCAGACCAATTAATCTCGGAAGTCAGCTGCAACGAGGCGTCTTCTAATTTCATTAGGAAAGACTCCGGCAGCTGAATTTCCATTCATTTCTTTTTGAGGCTGCATAATTAGCCGGCAATTGTCAAGTCATCAGCGCCTCGCGCAGCCATCAATTCGTGGTTATAAATAGAGAAATAGATTAATGATTGCCCCAACAGAATGTGGTTGAGTTTGGAGCCTCGAACAAAAGACAGTTTTATTGATGAGGCTGCTCAGCGTATGCGCGTTCCATGATATATGATATGTTTCCGAGACATTCCGTTTAAGCTTCAGGCTGCAAGCTTCTGGAACGTGTCGTAAACGTGGGAACACTAAAACAAATATGCGCCTTTCGTCTGGTATATTCAGCTGACAGATGGCTTACAGAATCCATAATGCCCTTTAACTTCTCTCGCATATGTTGCCAAATTTCTGTTTTTCTGCAAAGTTACTTTTGAATTGATATAACAACATTTGGTGTAGGATCTGCGCTACCCTTGCGAAGGTCTGCAACCACAACACACTGACAGCGAAAACGCCTCACTAATAGCTGATAGTTGATTTTCGAGTTTTCCAACAGTTGGTCCTGTTATTGGAAGCTATCAAAACATAAGGCCACACGGCTCGGCCACATGCCTGGTCTATCTCTCTATACAGATCTGACATGAGCTGATGTTCTTTATGAATTATGCCACACTCAGCAATTGCTGATGCAATCACCCTGATCCAGCCTCAGCGGGGGTGAGCGGTGCTCTTTTATCTGTTTACCTAACCACGTGACTGCGTCAGCTGTTGGTAAAAAAAAAGTGATCACAATTTGTGGGGTGCTAAGCATTGTGTTGACCCACTCTACACCCTGTGGTTCTTTCTAATTGTTTTTACGCATCCAATGTCATTTGAGCAAGTCATATAAGAGCTGTGTAATATGAATATGTCATATAAATATGATATAAAGTTACCTGTCATAAAAGGCTGTCTGTAGATCGTTTAAGCGACTCCATTAAGTGAGCTCTTAAATGAACATAGCTTAGCCTCAACTAAAGTTGGTTTCTATTCAATTCTATTTGAGAATGAGAAATAAAATATGTGTATTAAATATGAGCATATAATAACTATATCAGCATATGAGTCTATAAAAGCAGTTCTTATAATTATATTTTCTTAAGCTTATCTTTTCTTAGTGCCTATTTAGCCCTTCTTAAAAATACATTAACTTACGTCTATTAACACTTTATCCAATTGCTATTGAACAACCTTAAATCATAAATAAATAAGAAATAAATAAATAAATCAGTGAGAAATCAACGACGCATTCACATCAGCTGCCAAATGACAGCCCACTTTGGCTGCCAGCTAAACTTGTCTAAGTTAAGCCATGATTTTCTATATATATTTATATACTATATATATAAATTTATCTTTTTTTATACAACTGGCGCCGCACTTTGTGTCAAGGCTATGAAAATGGAAACAACATCTCAAATGCCTCCAACTAGTTTTTATTTTAGTTATTTGATTTCTTGTTTTATAATATTTTTTAGCCTACGCGCGTTTCTTTTTATGGCGATTGCAATTTTAATTATTCCAGAGGAAAAAATGCAAACTTAAATTAAATAATGCATAAAAAATGCAGTCAGCTGCGGGCTTGGAATACCCATTGAAAGTGGGCATATTATTTCGCTGCGAAGGTTGGGCACTTACAATTTCAGCATAATAAAATAATATAAAATATAAGTATTAAGATATGATAAGATAAGATATAATGCGTGATAAAAAATATTTTTTATTTTTATTTATTTCTTATTTTATTTTTATTTGAATATGCCTAACTGTAGTATATGGTGTATAGGCACTGCTCTAATCTACATATATGCATATGTGAAATAGCTTCTCTATTACTCGTGTATACAAAATCTAGTTTTAGTGGCACGGAAACTAGTTGCAGGGTATTTTAGCCGGGCACACCCGACTAAAGCACTCTGATTTGTGTGTTTTTCTGTAGTGCATTCAAATCGAATTGTGAATAATGTGTTTTCTTTTTTTTGCTTTTATTTTTGTAATTTGAAGTTTTTGTGCAGCGCGGGGGCAATTATAGCCGCTGCTTGTGGATGCTGCTGCTGCTGGCAGGCACTCAAGTGCACATTTCCTGCCATTTACAAGAGAGTACACACACACACACAGACGCACACTCAATGGAGTATTTGCTGCTAGTTTTTATTTATGTTCAAAACGCACTTAATGGGTTTTTCAGCCCATTGTTCGATTTGTAACGGCAGGGGGAGCCCAGGAACAGGCACAGGCAACGTCAACGGTAACGTCAGAGAGCACAGACCCATAGCCCGGATCCCGAATTATGACCCCGTCGCGGTTCCTCCTGCAAGTGGCTGCGTCTGCGCGTGACGCACGTGGTGCCGCATTGTAGGGGTTGCTGTTAGAGTTAGGCGCAAGGGTAGCTGCCTAACTGGGGGTTGATTATGCGGCCAAGTGACCCGCAGCATTTGCTGCCGCTTGCGCCTGCCACACGCAGTCAACGCCTTGACCCAAGTGCTGCCAGCTGCAGCTGCTGCAACTGCTTGCCCAAAGATCAACACACACACACATACACACTTGGCGTGTCAAATGGCCAACCAGCTGTTGGCATCGCTTCAGCGTAAATCAAAACACACAAATTAAGGCTCATCGGAAAAACTCAAAGGTTTCCATTTCTATTAGTTTTTCTCGACACGAACATATGCGCAGCTTCACAGTTGAACTGCGAACAATTAGCGCACTCACACCCTCAGGGCTGGGCTTGGTCTTCAAATTGTCCACAAGTGTCAGCATTTTCACCCACAGTCCGAAATATGCAAATGAAGCTCTTTATGAGCCAGAAGCATTCCACAATTTCCAATTGCAGCTGTCCCTAATGTTAATACTTTTTATCGAGGGTGGCTGAACTATTGTAATACGCCGAGTGCCTAAGAAAGGGTATCATAAAGTTGCAACAATGAATTGTAAAGAACTAATTTACAATGCATTCATTTTATTTATAATTTGTCTGAAGTCTGCATAAAACAACATTCGCTGCATTCATTGTGTGCAGTGAAAGTCCTTTGACTGTTTTATTTTTATTGCTTGGAATATTATTTGTACTTACATAATATATACTTATATATGCATATGCAGCCCAATTGAGCCAGCGGTTTTTTGTATGAAAAAGGTCTTCAAATGGCATTCGATTTGAAAGAAAGTTAGATTAAAAGACTTGTAGATAGATAGACATGTTGACAAATGAACCCTATGTATAGGTCTTACGCCTATAATGTAACGTACCTATAGATACATATATCTATAGATGTATAGATGCATATCTATATATCTATAGATGTATAGAGCTATAGACAGAGAGACTCAAAGATCTAAAGATAGATAGACTATTAAATAGAAATTTAGATATATAAATAGATCGATAGATAGATAGATAGTTCGATCAATAGAGAGATAGACATTTAGATAGAACGATCTTAAGATAGGTAGTTCTATGGAAACATAGACCTATAAATAGACAAAGCAATAGATATATAGATCAATGGACACATAGACCTATAGATGCATATACAGATAGATAAATTTATAGTTAGAAAGGCCCATGGATGAACAGACCTTTAGAAAATAAGACTTATAGATAGATAGAGTTAAAGATAGATGGAATTATAAGTAGATAGATCTATAGATAGATAGAAATAGAATAGAGCTATAGATAGGTCAATGGAGATATCTATAGATATAGATTGAGAAATGTATGCCTATAGATAAATAAAACTAGGAAAAGAAAGGCCCAAAACTAAAAAGACCTACAGATAGACAGATCTACAGATAGATAATCTTATAGATAGATAAACTTATAAACGCATTAGATAGATAGATCTATAGATGGATTATAAAGAGGTATATCTCTTCATTGGTCCATCTATAGATCTATATATTTATATAGAATATATGTAGAGAGAATTATAGATAAAAAAGCCCAAGAATAGGTAGATCCAGTTCTATAGATAGATAGACCGAAGATAGATAGATCTGGCTAAGATTAATTTAATTCAAAACCATTGGATGGGCATTTGAAAAACTTAGCAAAGAAGCACATTTATAGATTAATAAAATAATTTAAAAAGTTTTTCATATAAACTATATAACTAACTAGAGCTAAGACTATGCTACTTCCTCAGCTTCCTTTATTCGGCGCAAGGGTATCATATAGTCGAGCCAACCCTACACTTCCTTTGTGTAGCTTGCGTGATTAAGCGACTTTTGCTTTTTGGCTGCTATTTGTGTCCTGCTGTTGTTGCTGTGGTTTTTGCGGTCGACACGGATGTGGAATGGTTGGCTTTTTGGCAAGGATGTGAGCATACAACGACGCATAATTGCCAACTGATGTTTGATGAATGCAGCAACAGCTGCTGCTACTGCTGCTGCTGCTGCAATCAGGCAGCCCAACTCGAAAGCCAATATTAAAATCCACTTAGGAAGCGACGCGTGGCTCTGGTAGACAAACCAATTAAAGTAAACACACAGTATCTGTAAATCCTTTTAGCGAGAGCTCGCTCTGCTGCAACATATTATATTCACCCCCGACACAT